TTAAATCAGGGGGGAGTGGGGGGAGCTCTCATCTGTCAGCTCCAGCTTCCCATGCGGGGACATGAAAAAAGCCTCCCACTAGACAATAAAACATCCGGGCTTCCCCTGGGCAATGTCCTTGCAGATGGCCCATTCTCACACACCAGAAGCGACTTGCAGTTTCTCAAGTCGCCCTGACACGGGGAAAAAAAAAAACCAAAACGTGCAAATGAGTTCAAGTGCATTGTCAGGTAACTGCAAAGGACTGCAACCAATTTCACCCACAGTGAGGTCCACTGAAGCTGGCAATGCAGTTTACTTAAATATTAAGTTTCAAACTTTCAATTCATGGGGCCATGAGCCTAGATGAAAATCCCATTAAATTTGGTAAGTCCTGTTTTTAATACCATCCTTAGGAATTCTGGCCTTAGTTGTTCCACACACTCTCAAGCTGGATCTACACTGCCAAATAATGCAGTTTGAACTGCACTATATGGTTAGTGTAGACCTATATAACACAGTTCAAACTGCATTATTTAGCAGTGCAGATCCAGCCTCAGAGAAAGACAATGGTCAATGTCATCTGAACAAATATTGCCAAGAAAAGTCTGCAATAGGGCTGCTACAGGTCTCAAGAAACACATCTATATAAATAAAACGGTAATGTTCGTTTGTGGGATTAATATAACTCAAAAACCATTGGGCTAATTGACACCAAATTTGGACACAAGATACCTATCAGGCCAACAAGTGACCATCACTCATAAAAACATTGAAAAACACAACAGAAGAGACATAAAAAGCCAATATATTACAACCCACATATATATACGCAAACACACATATACACAAATATATAGACACACAAATCACATATTCAGACTGGGCCACAGCAACGTGTAATTCCTAGTAACCAATATAAACAAAACAGTCAGCATGGGGCCCTTCCAGACAGGCCCTATATCCCAGGACCTGATCCCAGGTGTACTGCTTGAAACTGGATTATATGTGTTCGCCGCACTGCCTGATAATCTGGGATAAACAGATCCTGGGATAAAGCGCCTATCTGGAAGGCCCTACAGTGTCATGATCTGAGCATTGGAGTAGAACTGTGGAAATCAGTTTTCAAATTCCTACTTGGTTACAGAAACCCACTATGTGAGCATGGGCAAGTTACACTCTCTCAGCATAAGAGGAAGGCCAAAGCAAATCCTATCTGATCAAATCTTGCCAAGAAAACCCAGGGACAGGGTTGCCTTAGGGCCCTTCCAGACAGCCACATAACCCAGAATATCATGGCAGAAAATCCCACAGTATTTGCTTTGAACTGGGTTATCTGAGTCCACATTGCCATATATTCCAGGTCAAAGCAGATAATGTGGGATTTTAATTCAGTTGTGTGGAAAGGGCCTTGGGATCACCGCAAGTCAGAAATGGTACGAAAGCACACGACGACACGAGAAAGCGAAGAGACGTAACCAGTCGGGGCTGTTGTCAGAATGAACGCAGACACATAACTATCAAATCCCTCTGAAAATACACCAAGGCTGAAAGTTTGGAAGCAACTGACAAAAGGTCAAGCCTTTCCTTGTGCAAACTAATTTTTAAGGCTTGGGAGACAAAAGAGGTATGAGCAACTGCATCCTTTGATGTCCCCGAAGCGGGGTGGGAGATGGGCGAGACGGAGAAAGAAAAAAAAATAAGAGTCTAGGCAGCTGCTTCCTCCCTGTGTCCCACCTCAAGAAGAAGAAAGAAGAGGAGAGGAAGTAGAAGAAGGTGGAGAGGAAGGAGGAGAAGATGAGGAAAAGGAAATACAATGAAGAGGAGATTCTGAATTGATTCGAGTGCAAACTGATGTGTTATTGTATTTTATATTGTGTTTACTTTTTTGTATGATTTTAAGCACTTTGTGTTGTCTGTAAACAACAAGAGTCCCTTCGGGGGGATGGTGGCGGGATATTATTAAAGTTATTATTATTTTACTGGCACAAAAACATAGTATGTCACAGCAAATGAGATGTATATGCTGGATATCATTATTATTATTATTATTATGACACAAAAACTGTATGTCACAGCAAATGAGATATATATGCTAGATTTCATTATTATTATTATTATTATTATTATTATTATTATTATATGATACTGACACAAAAACACAGTATTTCATAGCAAACGAGATCTATATGCTGGATTTTGTTATTATTATTATATGATACTGACACAAAAAACAGTATGTCACATCAAATGAGATATATATGCTGGATTTAGTTATTACTATTATATTATATTATACTGACACAAAAACACAGTATGCCACAGCAAATGAGATTTATATGCTGGATTTCGTTATTACTATTATCATTATTATTGGAGCCCCTGGTGGCACAATGGGTTACACTCTTGTGCTGACAGAACTGAAGACTGACAGGTCAGAGGTGCGAATCTGGGGAGAGCGCAGATGAGCTCCCTCTGTCAGGTCCAGCTCCCCATGCGGGACATGAGAGAAGCCTCCCACAAGGATGGTAAAACATCAAAACATCCTAAGCAACATCCTTGCAGATGGCCAATTCTCTCACACCAGAAGCGACTTCTAGTTTCTCAAGTTGCTCCTGACATGACAAAAATTATTATTATTATTATTATTATTATTATTATTATTATTATTATTATTATTCTGACCCAAAAACACAGTATGTCACAGCAAATGAGATCTATATATGCTGTATTTCGTATCACAAAATCACAAGTCAAACACTTCTCAAGTGTCTAGGACTGGGCGATGTATTTTCGAATGGTGCACACAGATCCAAGTAAGGTGGCCTTAGGTAGTTCTGTCAATGTTTACTTTTTCCAAATGCCGGCTGAGATCTTTTGGCACGGCACACAATGTGTTGATTACCACTGGGATAACCTTTACTGGTTTATGACAGAGCCTTTGCAGTTTGATTTTTATAATAATAATAATAATAATAATAATAATAATAATAATAAGTCCCCTGCCATGCGTTGCTGTGGCTCAGTTTGTGTATATGTGTTTTGTGTGTATATATATGTGGTTTTATGCATGCTTTGTAAAGTATTATTTATTTTTTTTGGCTTTTTAAGTTTCTTCCGCTGTGTTTTTCAGTGTTTTTATGAGTGATGGTCATTCATTGGCCTGATAGGTGTATTATGTCCAAATCTGGTGTCAATTCATCCAGTGGTTTTTGAGTTATGTTAATCCCACAGACAAACATTACATTTATATATATATATAGACTAGCATTGCTGTGACCCAGTCTGTGTATATGTGTGTGTGGTTTTGTGCATATGTTGTAAAAAAAATTTTGTTTTTTAAGTCTCTTCTGCTGTATTTTTCAGTGTTTTTATGAGTGATGGTCACTTGTTGACCTGATAGGTGTATTGTGTCCAAATTTGGTGACAATTCATCCAGTAGATTTTGAGTTATGTTAATCCAACAAACAAACATTACATTTTTATTTATATAGATTACTAGTTGTCCCCTGCCACGCTTTGCTGTGGCCCACATGGGGGTTCTGTGTGGGAGGTTTGGCACAATTCTATCATTGCTGGGGTTCAGAATGTTCTTTGGTTGTAGGTGAACTATAAATCCCAGCAACTACAACTCCCAAATGTCAAGATTCTATTTTCCCCAAACTCCACCAGTGTTCACATTTGGGCATATTGAGTCTTTGTGTAGAGTTTGGTCCAGATCCATCATTGTTTGAGTCCACAGTGATCTCTGGATGTAGGTGAACTCCAAAACCAAAGGACACTGCCCATCAAACCCTTCCAGTATTTTCTGTTGGTCACGGGAGAACTGTGTGCCAAGTTTATTTATTTATTTTATTTGCTTTACTTCTATACCGCCTTTCTCAGCCGGAATGGCGACTCAAGGTGGTTTACATAGTAAAGGTTATCATAACAATATCAAAGAAGATAATTAAAAACACATTATACAAGATATACAGATCAAAAACAATCATTATCATAAGCCTCAGCAAACAAATCAGAATCCGTAATCATAATTCTATACCAATTCCTATGTTCGGTTGTACCATCTTCATGTATTCATTGCACTATTTAGCCAAACGCTTGTTCGTAAAGCCAAGTCTTGACCTTCCTCCGGAATGCCAGCAGTGAAGGGGCCTGTCTGATGTCCACAGGTAGGGCATTCCACAGCCGAGGGGCCACCACCGAGAAAGCCCTGTCCCTCGTCCCCGCCAACCGCGCCTGCGATGCAGGCAGGACCGAGAGCAGGGCCTCCCCAGACGATCTTAATGTCCTAGTCGGTTCATAGGTGGAGATGCGTTCGGAGAGGTAAGTAGGGCCAGAACCGTTTAGGGCTTTATATGCTAAAGCCAGCACCTTGAATTGTGCCCGGTAGCAGATTGGCAGCCAGTGGAGCTGGCGCAGCAGAGGAGTGGTGTGCTCCCTGAGTGCCGCTCCTGTTAGCAACCTGGCTGCTTGGTTCAATTCCAATGTTGGTGGAGTTCAGAATGCTTTTTGATTGTAAGTGAATTATAAAGCCCAGTAACTACAACTCCCAAATGACAAAATCAATTTTTTTTGAGTGAAGGACATACATTGGGTTGTTAGGTATCTTGTGTCCAAATTTGGTGTCAATTGGTCAAGTGGTTTTTGCGTTCTGTTAATCCCACAAACAAACATTATATTTTTATTTATATAGATTATTATTAAATTTTGTTATTACTATCATTATTATTATTAAGTAAAGAAGATGAAGAAGAGAAGAAGAGGAGGGGAGGGAAAATGAAGAACAGGGGGAAAAAAGAAAAAGACGAGGAGAGGAAGGAGAATAAGAGAAAGGAGAAAGAAAAGGCAGATGAAAAAGCGGAGGAGGAAAGGAAAAGGGCACCCAAAGTGACACTCAACTTTGAGTCCGGCAGCCTGGATCTATCAATCCAAACTTTCTGATCTGGGACAAAACTTCACTAGGGACAGAAGGAAAGGTGATGGCGGGCCCTTGTTCAGGTTTTGAGCAGGGAGCTTACCTTGTAGCGGAGCGCTTGGTGGATGTCGGCGGCCAGCTGTCCTTTCCACCACTGCCCCTCCAGCTCCATGGGACACGAAGCAAGGCGGCCCGGCAGGCAAGCAAGAGTGGGCGGCAACTCCGAAGGCTGCAGAGAGAGCAAAAGAAAGAAGGAGTGAAGGAGAGAAAGAAAAGAAGGGTGGAAGTGGCTCCGAAGAGGCCGCTCATCATCCCTCCAATGCCAGGCCTGCCTTTGCACTCCACTCAAAGCCAACCCCTCTCTTTTCTCTCTGATTCCCCCTACTTCCTAAGGACCCCACCTCTCTCCGGGGAAAGGAGGGATCTGGAGTTGGGGCCGCAGCTGATCCCACTCAGAAAAAGAGGAGGAGGGGGAAATGGGGCAGCCAGTTGCTGCCTGCTGTAATTCTTCTTTCCTCCCCAATTCCCCAGTGAGAGATTCATACAGCTGGGGTTGGATCCCCTTCACACACACACACACCCTACTCTATAACCCCTTCCACACAGCTGAATAAAATCCCACATTTTCTGCTTTGAACTGGAATATATGGCAGTGTGGACTCAGATAACCCAGTTCAAAGCAGATATTGTGGCGTTTCCTGCCTTGATATTCTGGATTATATAGCTGTGGGGAAAGGTCCTTAGTAACAAACTTTTTGTTCCTGGGTTATAAATGTCATTTCCTAATTGGGCCTATCGTAAAAATATGGAAAAGGCTTATTAAACCGCAAAAATTAGTTTGGTGAGGCATCACCACTCTTTCCCAGATAAGGCCAAAGACCTTGTCAAATTCTCTTGACTCCATAGGATTGAGAGCCAAGGCAGTTCAAGTGGCGTCAGGCCACATTCCTTCCTGTGAAGGAAGAAGGAAAATATGAAAAAGAAGAGGAGGAAGGAGGAGAGGAAGAATTGGGTCTCTTCTACAGAAATTCCAGATTATCTGTGTTAAACTGGATTATATAGCAGTGTAGACTCACATGATCCAGTTCAAAGCAGACAACGTGGATTATCTAATGTAATAATCTGGATTACATGGCAGCGTGGAAGGGGCCATGGAGGAGAAGGTGGAAGTGGAAGTGGGAGAAGGAAGAGGAGAAGAAATGAAGGGGAGGAGGAAAGGAAGAAGAGAGAGAAGAACTAAGAGAGGAGATAAAGTAGTGGAGGGGAGTAAGAAGAAAGGAGGAGGAGAGGAAGAGGTGGAAGTTGGAGAAGAGAAGGGGAAGAGGAGGAGAAGAAAAGGGGAAGAAGAGAAAAAGAAAAGGAGGAGAGGAAGAAGAACTAAAAGAGAGGATAAAGTAGGAGTGGTGGAGGAGGAGAGTAAGAAGAGGAGGTGGAAGTTGGAGGAGAGAAGGGGAAGAGGAGAATAAAGAAAAAGAGAAAGAAAAGAAGGGGAGGAGGAGAGGGAGAAGAGAAGGGGAAGAGAAGAAAGAAGGAGAAGAAAAAAGAAAAGAAGGGGAAGAACTAAAAGAAGAGATAATTAAGAAGTTGAGGAGAGTAAGAAGATAAAAAAAGGAAGAAGAGGTGGAAGTTGGAGGAGAGAAGGGGAAGAGAAGAATAAAGGAGAAGAGAAAAAGAAGGGGAGGAGAGGGAGAGGAACTAAAAGAAATAAAGAAATGAAAGAGGAGGAGAGTAAGAAGAAAGGAGGAGACGAAGAAGAGGAGGGGGTGTTGGAGAAGAGAAGGGGAAGAGAAGAGAAAAAGAAAAGAAGGGGAGAAGGAGAAGATCTAAAAGAGAAGATAAATAAGAAGTGGAGGAGAGGAAGAGGATAAAAGAGAGGAAGAAGGGGAGGTGGAAGTTGAAGGAGAGAAGGGGAAGAGAAGAATAAAGGAGAAGAGAAAAAGAAGGGGAGGAGGAGAGGGAGAGGAACTAAAAGAAATGAAGAAATGAAAGAGGAGGAGAGTAAGAAGATAAAGAAGAAATGTAAGAGGCAGAGAGTAAGAAGAAAGGAGGAGAGGAAGAAGAGGAGGGGGATGTTGGAGAAGAGAAGAAGGGGAAGAGAGGAAAGGGGAAGAAGAGAAAAAGGAAAGGAGGAGATGAAGAAGAACTAAAAGAGAGGATAAAGTAGGAGTGGTGGAGGAGGAGAGTAAGAAGAGGAGGTGGAAGTTGGAGGAGAGAAGAAGAAGAGGACAATATAGGAAAAGAGATAAAGAAAATAAGGGGAGGAAGAGAGGGAGGGATGTTGGAGAAGAGAAGAAAGGAGAAGAGAAAAAGAAAAGAAGGGGAGAAGGAGAAGAACTAAAAGAGGAGATAAATAAGAAGTGGAGGAGAGGAAGAAGATAAAGGAGAGGAAGAAGAGTAGGTGGAAGTTGGATACGAGAAGAAGGGGAAGTGGAGAAGAAGAGGAAGAACTAAAAGAGGAGATAAAGAAGTGGAGGAGAGGACAAAAATTAAAGAGGAGGAGAGTAAGAAGAATGTAGGTGGAAGTTGAAGAGGAGTAGGAAAAGAGAAGATAGAAGTGGAGGTGGAGAGTAAGAAGAAATGAGGTGCAAGGAGAAAGGAGAGAAGAAGCAAAGAGAAGAGAAAGAGGGGGAAGAAAGAGGAGAGGAGCCGAATTAAAAGGGGGAGGGGGAGGTCGGCGTCCTTAAAGGGGAGGGTTGCTGACCTGGGAGGGCCTTCCTTCTTGGCAGGAGACCCCTGATCGGGTCGGGGAAAAGGAGGGAGCCGGCTTCTTTCCCGAAGGAGCAACGGCCGGCCTCTCCTCCTCCTCCTCTTCCTCCTCCTCGAGGCCCGTGGGGAGCCTCCCGAGAGGAACAAAGGGCCCGGCCGAGTCAGGCAAGAGGGAGGGAGGCGATCCCGGCGCCTTACCCGGAGCCCGCAGCGCCGCTTCTTAGTCCCTGTCCCCCGCCGGGGCCGAGGCGCCCATTCCCGGCGCCGGAGCTCAAGACCCCTCGGCGGCGGCGGCGGCGGCGGAGGAGGAGGAGGAGGAGTGCCGGCCGCATCCCGCTGCCATCCCGGCCTAGCCCTGGCCTTCCCCGTCCATGGTGGGAGCGCTCGCTTCCCCGGAGCCAGGGCTTGTATACAAAGACCAGGAGCCCCCAGACATGCGGCCGCGCCTCCGCCAATCGCCGCCCGCCTTGACGTTCCAAGCTGGGCACGCCCTCCAATCCCAGCGCCGCATGCAAAACGGGTTCGGGGAGGGGAGGAGGGAGGGGGAGATAGAGAGAGAGAGAGAGGGGAAAGAGGCACCCGTTTCTTTTCTTTTTTTTTTTTTTTTACAAAGCCGAGGAAGTTTTTGGGCCAATCCGAGCGCCGTAGCCGCTCAGGCTTCTTTTTTTTTTTTCTTCTCCTTTCGGGAGGGGTTGGAAGAGCAGCGTCACGTGCTCAGGTTTTGCGCAAGGAGGGCTTAGGTGTGTTCCGAGCCCTAGATTCCCACCTGAGCCTCGAAGCTAAGCAGGGTCCGCCCCGTTGCGACTTGAATGGGTGACCGTCAAGGACTTGTTCTATTTCAGACGAAGGAATTCCCTCATTGGAGGGAAGGATATTAGAGGCAAAGATGAAGTACTGGGTTGTTGTAGGTTTTTCGGGCTATATGGCCATGTCCTAGAATCATACTCTCCTGATATTTCGCCTACATCTATGGCAAGGGTTCTTAAACTAAGGCTCTAAATTCCCTCATTGGAGGGAAGGATATTAGAGGCAAAGATGAAGTACTGGGTGGTTGTAGGTTTTTCAGGCTATATGGCCATGTTCTAGAAGCATTCTCTCCTGATATTTTGCCTACATCTATGGCAGGGGTCCTCAAACTAAGGCCCGGAATTCCCTCACGGGGGAAAGGATATTAGGGGCAAAGATGAAGTACTGGGTGGTTGTAGGTTTTTCAGGCTATATGGCCATGTTCTAGAAGCATTCTCTCCTGATATTTCGCCTACATCTATGGCAGGGGTCCTCAAACTAAGGCCCGGAATTCCCTCATGGGGGAAAGGATATTAGGGGCAAAGATGAAGTACTGGGTTGTTGTAGGTTTTTCGGGCTATATGGCCATGTTCTAGAACAGTGGTTCTCAACCTGGGGTCCCCATATGTTTTTGGCCTTCAACTCCCAGAAATCCTAACAGCTGGTAAACTGGCTAGGATTTCTGGGAGTTGTAGGCCATAAACATCTGGGGACCCCAGGTTGAGAACCACTGTTCTAGAAGCATTCTCTCCTGATATTTCGCCTGCATCTATGGCAAGGGACCTGAAACTAAGGCTCTGAATTCCCTCATTGTAAGGAAGGATATTAGAGGCAAAAATGAACTACTGGGTTGTTGTAGGTTTTTCAGGCTATATGGCCATGTTGTAGAAGCATTCTCTCCTGATATTTCGCCTGCATCTATGGCAGGGGTCCTCAAACTAAGGCCCGGAATTCCCTCATTGGAGGGAAGGATATTAGAGGCAAAGATGAAGTACTCGGTTGTTGTAGGTTTTTCGGGCTATATGGCCATGTCCTAGAAGCATTCTCTCATGATATTTCGCCTGCAGCTATGGCAAGGGTCCTCAAACTATGGCCCGGGGGCCGGATGCGGCCCTCCAAGGTCATTTACTTGGCCCTCACTCAGGGTCAACCTAAGTTTGAAATGACTTGAAAGCACACAACAACAACAACAATCCTATCTCATCAGCTAAAAGCAGGCCCACACTTCCCATTGAAATACTAATAAGTTTATATTTATTAAAATTGTTCTTCATTTTAATTATTGTATTGATTTTAAGTGGGGTTTTTTGCACTACAAATAAGATATGTGCAGTGTGGACAGGAATTCATTCATGTTTCTAAATAATTAATAAAGATGTTGAATGGCACTGGGCCCAGGATCAAAGCCTGAGGCACTCCACTCATCACTTCTTTCCAGGATGAAGAAGAGCTGTTGGTGAGCACCCTTTGGGTTCAGTCGCTTAACAAATTACAGATCCATATAATAGTAGTATTGCCTAGCCCACATTTGAGTAGTTTGCTTGCAAGAAGGTCATAAGGGAGTTTGTCGAAGGCCTTACTGAAATCAAGATATGCTTCATCCAAAGCATTCCCTGCATCTACCAAGCTTGTAACTCTATTGAAAAGGGGATAAGATTAGTCTGGCATGACTTGTTTTTGAAGAATCCTTGTTGACTTTTATTAATCACAGCATTCTTTTCTAAGTAATTGCAGAATGCTCCTTAATGATCTGCTCCAGAATGTTTCCTGATGTCAGGCTGACTGGACGGTAATTGTTTGGGTCCTATTTTTTTCGTTCTTGAAAAGAGGGACAACAACTGCCCTCCTCCAGTCTGCTGGGACTTCTCCTGTTCTCCAAGAATTCTCAAAGATTATTGCCAGTTCTGAAACTACTTCTGCTAGTTCCCTCAATACTCTTGGATGTAGTTCATCTAGCCTTGGAGACTTGAATTTATTTAGAGTAGCCAGGTATTCCTGGACTATTTCTTTGCCTATTTTGGGTTGCATTGCCCATATTACCTCATCCACTCTGTATTGCTCAAGTTGAAGACTGAGGCAAAGAAGGTGTTGAGCAACTTTGCTTTTTCCCTATCTCCTGTTGGCATTTCATCACCTTCTACTTGTAGAGGCCCTACCATTTCCTTTTTCTTACTTATTCTACTGACATAACCAAAGAGCCCCTTTTTATTGTTTTGAATCTCTCTGGCAAGCCTGAGCTCATTTCGTGCCTTAGCCTTACGAACCTTTTCCCTACATATGTTGGCTATTGGTTTACATTCCTCTTTGGTGATTTCCCCTCTTTTCCATTTCTTGTGCATGTCTCTTTTAAATCTTAGCTCAGTTAAAAGTTATTTGGACATCCCTTCCGGTTGTTTTACACTTTTCCAATTTTTTTCTCCTAGCTTGCACTGTTTGCAATTGTGCCTCCAGTATCTCACTTTTAAGAAACTCCCATCTATCATTTACTCCCTTCTCTTTCAGTATTCCTATCCATGGAATCACACTCAGTATTTCCTTAGAATGCATGTTTGATTTCTCTTAGTCTCGCCCTTCCTTTGTTTCACAAACTCCAGGAGTACATGGTCACTCCCACCTAAGGATCTCACCACTTCCACTCCATTGACCAGATCCTCAGTGTTGGATAGGATCAGATTCAGAATAACGGAACCTGTTGCTTCTTCTACCTTCTGAACAATAAAATTGTGTGCAAGGCAAGTGAGGAATTTGCTGGACTTTGTACTCTTGGCAAAGTTTGTTTTCCAACAAATATCAAAGTAGTTGAAATCCCCCTATTACTACTATATCTTTTCTTTCTGGTCATCCAGTTAAGGAAGGCCTCCTCCAGTTCTTCCGTCTGGTTTTGAGGTTTGTAGTAGACCCCCACGGCCACATCTTTTTCAGTCCTCATTCCCTTAATACTTATCCAGATGCTCTCAGCCTGGCTTCCAGGATTGGAGTCCTGCCTCTCTTCACAGGTGTAAATAGTTTTGACATATGCTACTCCACCCCCTCTCCTGTTTGATCTATTTCTCTGAAATAGGTTATACCAGGGGTCCTCAAACTACGGCCCAGGGGCTGAATACGGCCCTCCAATGTCATTTACCCGGCCCTCGCTCAAGGTCAACCTAAGTCTGAAACGACTTGAAAGCACACAACAACAACAACAACAACAACAATCCTATCTCATCAGGCCCATACTTCCCAATGAAATACTAATAAGTTTATATTTGCTAAAATTGTTCTTAATTTTAATTATTGTATTGTTTTAAAGTGGTTTTTTTTTTTGCACTACAAATAAGATACATGCACTGTGCATAGGAATTCATTCATTTTTTCCCCCAAATTATAATCAGGCCCTCCAACAGTTTGAGGGACTATGACCTGGCCCTCAGTTTTAAAAGTTTGTGGACCCCTGGGTTATACCCTTCCATTGCTACCTTCCAATTATAGGACTTGTCCCACCAGGATTCAGTTATGCCTATTACATCGTAACTGTTTTGTCATGCTAAGAATTCCAGCTCATCTTGTTTATTTACCATGCTCTGGGCATTAGTGTAACGATATCTAAGCCCGTGGGATATTCCACTTAGCTGTTTATTTGAAGTTATTGTCCTCTCGCTGGTTGGTACTATTCGTGTTTATCCAAACCTTTCTTTACCCTTTGGTCTGTTCACTCTGGGCCTTGATAATCTTGATAATGTCACCCTCCCCCACACAAGCTAGTTTAAAGTCCACCTAATCAGGATTGCCAGTCTCTGAGTATAATAAACATTTTCCATGTTTTTATGATAGAACCAATTAGGAAATGACATTTATAACCCAGGAACAGAAATCGTGTTACACAGTGTAATCTGGCACCAGATCCTGTCTCATCTTGAAAGCTAAGCAGGGTCTACTCTGGTTAGTACTTGGATGGGGGACCACCAGACCTTGTGGGCTATATTTCAGAGGATGGAATTGGAAAAATGACTTCAGAGTATGCCCTGCCAAAGAAAACTCGATGAAATTAATGGGATCACCATAAATCAACAAGTTACTTCAAAGCATCTGCACACACCTAGAACCGTGTTGTCACCTTGTTTTTTTTCCCAGAGCAGCTCATCATCTTTAATATCTATATCAGGGGTCCTCAAACTTTTTAAACAGAGTGCCAGGTCACAGTCCCTCAAACTGTTGGAGGGCCGGATTATAATTTGAAAAAAAAAATGAATGAATTCCTATGCACACTGCACATATCTTATTTGTAGTGCAAAAACACTTTAAAATAATATAATAATTAAAATGAAGAACAATTTTAACAAATATAAGCTTATTAGTATTTCAGTGGGAAGCGTGGACCTGTTTTTGGTTGATGAGATAGGATTGTTGTTGTTGTTGTTGTGTGCTTTCAAGTCATTTCAGACTTAGGTTACGCCTGAGTGAGGGCCGGGTAAATGACCTTTGAGGGCCGTATCTGGCCCTCGGGCCATAGTTTGAGGACCCCTGATCTATATAATGTAATTTGTGCTTATGCTGGAAGTTTCACTTTCTGTTGAATTTAGCTGTCAGAGAATTTTGTTTCACTTTGTTTTTGAAGAAGTTACAAAAATGTGCAAACCATGTATTATAGGTAAAGAGAAGTTGAGGTTTGAAAATAAGAAATATTTCAGAGGAAGGAGCTGGGAA